CTGGGAGGATTCTTCTACATGCAGCTGGTCGTAAAGGACATCTCCAGTGTGGTTTGGATGCCGGTTCCCGCCCTGATCATCTACAATATTGTCTACTGCACGGGCTTCGGACCGCTGCCGTGGGCGGTGCTCGGCGAGATGTTCCCGGCCAACATCAAGTCGGCGGCCTCCTCCGTGGTGGCCAGCACCTGCTGGACACTGGGCTTCCTGGTCACCTTCTTCTACCCCTCCCTCGATGCCCTCGGTTCCTACTACGCCTTCTGGCTCTTCGCCGTCTTCATGGTGGTGGCCTTCTTCTTCGTGCTCTTCGTGGTGATGGAGACGAAGGGGCTCAGCCTGCAGGAGATCCAGGATCGACTCAACGGAAAGCGCGACTAGGGAGCGGATCCTGCATTTGTTTCTGCATTTGCGGGCCTGATTCCATAATGATCTTTAACGTACGTCTAAGGTCGATATGCAAGTATTTTATTGGTTAGTGTTGTAAGCCTACACTCAATTGTTACATGTTTTTCCTGTTAATTGTAAAACAAAACAAAAATTTAGCAATAATAATTATGAAATAATAATAAATGAAATGGCTTTCACTGGGGTGTAAGAAGTTCCAAAAAGATATTTCAGTGAGACATTATTTTTCATAGTTGCAGCGATATAAAATGCTTGTTTTAGTTTATATTATAATTTGAAGGTTATTTAAAGGTCTCTGATATATACAAAATATGTGTATTCAAGGTGCACTAAACAAGAAAAGAAAACAACTTCTCCAATGTATTCGTACACGCTCGTACACGCTTGCAGCTATTACAAAATTAATAAATATTCTATAAAACAATTATATTTTGATTTGTAAGCGTTTAGCTTACAAAAATGAATCTAGGTCTATTTTTCTATACTATTATCGATTTTTATAGCAGCTTATGATATAGTCGACCTTTTTTCGATAATATATTTCGTTCAAAATAGTAATTAATTGTAGTATACAAAATGTAAGTTAAACTTATAAATGTCATTTTGACATATAAATGCATAAAGAAGTGTGGTGGTAGTTCTGTGACAAAGTGGATAAAAATAAGAATAAAATGGAAAGTAAGACAATTTTTACAATAAATTATTTATAAAAGCAATTATTTTTTCAATGAAAACAAGAAAGGAAGCAAACTTCGGCAAGTTGAAGTTTATATACCCTTGCAGTTGTTTCAAATCTACTACATTTCGATTTCTATGCCTATATTACTATATATTTGCCATCGTTTTTCTGTCAGTTGTATGATATTGTTGTCCGACTTTAATAAAATTAAAACCGTAATTCCATAATATTTATATATTACCAAATCCCGAAGAAAAAACAAAAAAAAACACAAAAGGAAAGCTAGCTTAGGGCGGAGCCGAAGTTGATATATCCTTGCAGAATATTCTGTAAATTCTATTGATTGGCCAAAAATAAAATCCATAGGAAATCCCAACTTCCTAACCTTACAAACACCAAAGTTATGGCATTTCCGATCAATCAGTTATATGGCGGCTATATACTGTGTGCAAAGGAACGAAGGGTGTGTGCAAAGTTTCAATTCGACATGGCTAGATCGACTCTCCTGGTGATGGTGATCTAGAATATATGTACTTTATAGGGTTGAAATCTTTTGACTGAAATTATCATACCCTCTGCAAGGGTATAAAAAGAATACATTATTTCCCACATTATTCCACTTGTTGCGGTTGCTGGGGAAAGGGTTGCTGTACTTGTTGTTGGCCCCTGAAATTGTTTGACTAATGAATATTTAAGTGAATTACCTTTAAGAGCTCCGTTTTGTAACGCTTGTCCCAGCAGAAAAAGCTGATATTGTCGCCCTCTATGAGAGGGAAAATGGAGGTTGCAGGCGCCATCTAGGAGAGAGGTGTTAGAAGTCGAGGTCGGCGGTCGAACTGGAAAGATCATTTAACAGGGCCGTATGCCAGACTTTCTCCGGAGTGAAATTCACCTTAAGGAAAGCGCTATGGGTTCCCGCTTAATTCGGGGCGTCTATTCGTTCTATTCCCTTTTGGCGGCCTTTGGACCCAATCAGCAGTTTAAAATCGATCAAACAATAAGAAAACCAGTGAAAATAAGTCGGTGACATACAGTTACCGTTTTGTTGCCATTAGGGTTCGGCAAAACTGTTCGTTGACCATGCTGGGGTAGTTTATAACATCCCGGAAACCAGAGGTTCCAGCTGGAGGCAGAAGATCTACTCCCGTAGACTGCTCATAGGGTTTTTGGCCAACGCCCAAGTCTTGATTTTGAGGCCAAAAACATTACAACCACAACCGGAAAAATTACCCGATTCAGGTTATAGAAAGGATGCAAGAATAAGCCGAATTTTCTTTCCCAGTTAAATAGGATTAAAACTATACAATTGCCCTTGCCTCAATGCTTTCCGTGGAGCCGTTCTGTATAAAACGGATGGCAAAAGTGGTCGTAGGTCGGATTGATTGGCCAAAAATAAAACCCATAGAAAATATCAACTTCCTAACTTTACAAACATCAAAGTTATGGCATTTCCGATCAATCAGTTATATGGCGGCTATAGAGTATAGTCGTCCGATCCTTATGAAATTTGGTAGGTCGGATTGATTGGCCAAATATAAAACCCGTAACTAATTCCAACTTCCTAAGTTATGGCATTTACGATCGTTCAGTTATATGACAGCTATAGGATACAGTCGCCGATCCCGGCCGTTCCGACTTATATACTGCGTGCAATAGAAAGACAACTGTTGGGAAAGTTCAAGCAGATAGCTTGAAAACTGAGGGACTAATTTGCGTAGAAACGGACAGACGGACAGACGGACATGGCTATATCAACGCAGGAGGTGATCCTGATCAAGAATATATATACTTTATAGGGTCGGAGATGTCTCCTTCACTGGGTTGCACACTTTTGACCAAAATTATAATACCCTCTGCAAGGGTATGTATGTTTTAATTTCGATTAGTTGTGCCTTCAGCTAGTGTGATCGTCCCTTTGAACACAATGGGGCCATTCACGAAAATCAAAATTCCATTTGGCTATGGAAAGGCTAAGAATGGCAGAGGCAGGGAGGGGCGTTTGTAATCCCAATACTATCTGGGGTTGAATAGTTGTCCCATCTCGCATATCCAATAGACTGGTTTTAGTGTGTTTGTGCTGAGCTGTGGTCGGAAAACTATGTGTGCGCTTGTCTTTTCTCATAATAACACCGACCTAAGTAATTCGTTACGGTTTCTCAGCTTCTCTTCGAACAATTTGGCCTGGAGTGTAATTGTATAATTGTTGACGAATGTTTTAGCATTGTTTCTCGCATCTCCTTTTCGGCTTATTATACTCTTGCAGAGGGTATTAAAATTTCTGTCAGAATTTAGTAGGTATGTCGGAACAAGCCGGATCGGCCGACTATATCATATAGCTCCCATAGGAACAATCGGAAAAAAGAATTCAGAAAACTTATAACTTTGTTGTTTTAAATTATGTGTTTATGTTCTTTGGGATTTGGTAATATTTAAATATTATAGAATTACGGTTTTAATTAAAACAAGAAAGGAAAGCTAACTTCGGGCGGAGCCGAAGTTGATATACCCTTGCAGAATACTCTGTAAATTATATTCTCCAAAATTATTCATATGATGCATTCTTAATACTCATAAAAAATCCGAACTTCCTAACTTTAACAACAACAAAGTTATGGCATTTCCAATCGTTCAGTTATATGGCAGCTATAGGATATAGTCGGCCGATCCTTATGAAATTTGATAGGTCGGATTGATTGGCCAAAAATAAAATCCATAGAAAATCCCAACTTCCTAACTTTACAAACACCAAAGTTATGGCATTTCCGATCAATCAGTTATATGGCAGCTATAGGATATAGTCGGCCGATCCTTATGAAATTTGGTAGGTCGGATTGATTGGCCAAATATAAAACCCATAGAAAATCCCAACTTTCTAACTTTACAAACACCAAAGTTATGGCATTTCCGATCAATCAGTTATATGGCAGCTATAGGATATAGTCGGCCGATCCTTATGAAATTTGGTAGGTCGGATTGATTGGCCAAATATAAAACCCATAGAAAATCCCAACTTTCTAACTTTACAAACACCAAAGTTATGGCATTTCCGATCAATCAGTTATATGGCAGCTATAGGATATAGTCGGCCGATCCTTATGAAATTTGGTAGGTCGGATTGATTGGCCAAATATAAAACCCATAGAAAATCCCAACTTTCTAACTTTACAAACACCAAAGTTATGGCATTTCCGATCAATCAGTTATATGGCAGCTATAGGATATAGTCGGCCGATCCCGGCCGTTCCGACTTATATACTGCGTGCAAAGGAAAGAAGGGTGTGTGCAAAGTTTCAATCCGATAGCTTTAAAACTGAGAGACTAGTTTGCGTAGAAACAGACAGACGGACAGACGGACAGACGGACAGACGGACATGGCTATATCAACTCAGGAGGTGATCCTGATCAAGAATATATATACTTTATAGGGTCGGAGATGTCTCCTTCACTGCGTTGCACACTTTTGACCAAAATTATAATACCCTCTGCAAGGGTATAATAAAATCGGACAACAATATCATATAGATGCCATATAAACGATGGCAAAATGCAGCGCAAAATCGTCATAGCTTCATTGTTTTTAGTAATATAGGCATAGAAATCGAAATGTGGTCGATTTGTAACAACTGCAAGGTATATAAGGGTATATAAAATTCGGCTTGCCGAAGTTTGCTTCCTTTCTTGTTAATATTAATATTAAAAGGCTTACACAGAAAACTAAACTTAACGGCTTAAATACATTTGAGTGTTGGCAAATCGTTTGCTTTAAGTGGAACATATTTGGACTCCTCGCTTCTTTCTCAAATCTCAGAAGGACATTTAATTAAATGGGGTTTAAATGCAATCGTACTACCATAACCACAATAAATAGCGTTCGAGCAAAGCCCATAACATTTATTCATCAAATACAAATTAAGAACGAAAAAATTGAAAAACAATATTTATAAGAATTTGTTTTCTTTTGTTTAGAGATAGCATATGAGGTTATCTGTCTGTCTGCTAGTGCAAAAGCCCTTTATTAGCGTACGGGTGAAACCGTTCCCTGTCCCAATCTGTAGATAAAAGGTATCATTTTTTTGTTAATCCACTCGTTGAACACAGCCACATTCGTGTAAGTTCCGGGAACACCATCCAGTCCACATCCCATGCCCCAGGATACAATGCCGACCTGCTCGTAGCGATCTGATTGTTCCGCGGGGCAGAATAAAGGAGATCCTCCATCTCCTAGGCAGGCATCCTTACCAGGCTCACCTCCGGCGCAAATCAAACTCTCAGGCAACCTATAGTGCCAGCCCAACCTCGTTCTCCTCAACTGCAACTCACATTGGTCTCTCTTTAGTATTGGTAGCTCGAATTTCTTGAGAATGTTGGAGTTATCCAGATCACCGACCGTTGTCTTACCCCAACCGGCAACAGTGCAGCGACGTCCATCGTACAGATTTCCTGGTGTTGGGATCGGGATGGTTCTGATGTGGTCCTTTAAATCGAAAGGCGAGGTTAGAAAGAGAAGCGCTACGTTGTTGGCACCAGTTCGATAATGGAAGTTTTCGTGTTTCGTGATCTCGTATGCTTGACGTTCCTCATAACTAAAACTCTCTGTTTTGCAGCCCATGTCCCATTCGCCAGCTCTGACCACTATATAATTGGCGTTCCTGTTCTCTACCTTGTGGGCAGCTGTGAGTACAACATCTGTTCTAATCAGGGAACCGCCGGCAAAATACTCATCTTTGTCGAACAGAGCCACCACCCAGGGAAACTGTCCAGGCTTTGATTGCTCATTGGCCGTATACTTTGTGGTATCCAATCCGTTTGGATTGCTCAGACCGTCCTGTTCTAATCCGCTTGGATAGGGCTCTACTGTTGTCCATCTCGGCTCCACTGCTGTCAATCCCTGCGAATCATAAACAATAGTTAACTTAAAGTCCTTTGCGCAAAATTTAGTTTAGTTTAATTTCGATGTTTTCATTTTTAATGCGTATAAATGTAAAAACGTAATTTTGAGCGTAAAAAATGGTTGTTTTTTTGAGTATAAGTCTGCGAATAAGGAAAAGTGGCTAGCTATTAATCTGAGCTTACAAGGTATCTCAATAAACTTACGCCGTGGAGCATTTCACAACAGACTTGATTGGAAAGACAACTCGCAGTATTAATGTCGTCACTTTTTAGGCAGAGTTGTCTAGGAACACAGATATTACAGGCTTCACCCAAAAGGATGCAGCTTAAAATAAGAGCTGCGGTTGTCCAGAAATGTCCCATGTCTGCGACCGAAAATTGATTGAACTCAAGTCAGATGGGCTGGCTTTTTTATACACCGCAGACCGCATTAGCTTAAATTTATATTATCATTATCAGCTTCAATATATACATGTGTGTATGTATACCCTTGTTCTAAGATTTTAAAAAGTATGTTTCGCATTGAATCAACTTAATTAAAATGCAAATGTATAAAAACAAATAATTTTTCTGTGCGAATTGAGCTTTGTCTGTTTTGATGTTTATGAGTAGTTGTTCAAGTTTTGACCTGTATGTGATAAGAAAAGGTAAAAGTTATCAATAAACTTTTTAATAGGTTCTTTATATGCAAAAATTTCCCAAAAAATTATATAACTTTAAAATCGTTAAAAATTATATATTTTTAACTATACAATTCCTTGAAAAAGGCCTTGTCTAGCTATCAACAATCAAATATATTTTTTTGGATATATATTTCATTTAAAAGTTTAAATTTACTTTTCCATCATCTGCCGGAATGGCCAACAAGTTCTATATAAGTGACTGTAGGCTTTGATCCCAGAGTGATAATGCTTGATAAATGCTTGAGTGATGTCCAGTTTCGGGCTTGGGTCTTGGTCGAGCGCAATTTCCCATAAACAGGCGTTGCTAAAGCGATTTGCATCGGTTACAAGTGGGGCTTCCCCACGGAACTCCCCGTTCCCAGGCCTTTCAAGCAGATCCAGCTGCCGCCCAAGTCGGGCGTAGCATATGGCACAAAGTTGTCAAGGGACTGCAACGAGATAAGCACAAATTAGTGGTAAATTAAGGCATCAGCATTCCTAACCCACTGGGTCCACGGGAAAACTATGCACAGCACTATACACTTATTTATTGCTATTTCCTAAATCTGTTATTTTTCTGATTTTATATTTATTTATTATTTTAAGAGTTCTATAACGATTTTTTTTTATAGTATTTTACTCATAAAATTTGTGATTGATACTGTCTTAATTAAAAAGATTATGCTGTATATTCAAATTTTTATTGCACACATTTTTATTTTTAATTTATTGCCAATATTAATAATATTTCATTCAAGGTTCTTATAATTATAAATAATTGTTTAATATTAAATTATTAATATGTCAAACATTTTACTAAATTAAAAATAAATTTAAAATAAAGTTTTTTTTTCCACATTAAACTTTACTTTAATACATTTTTCATTTCAAAAGATAAGAGTTAATTCTTGAGCTATTAAATTAATATCAGTCGAATGTTATCAATGTTTCCTATTCCCAAGATCTATATAAAATTAAAGTTTTGTTCTTATTGTGTCAAAAGTTAAAAAAATGGAATATTGTGATTTTATAGTCTGGACAAAACATGGGGAATATCGTAATGTCAATCTAAATCCCAGTCCACTCACCGCAGACCAAGTTTGATGGACGTGCAATACAAGAAAGGAAATCTAACTTCGGGCGGAACCCTTGCAGAATACTCTACTTGTATAATTATATTCTCCAAAATTATTCCTATGATGCATTCTTAATACTCATAAAAAATCAAAACTTCCTAACTTTAAAAACACCAAAGTTATGGCATTTCGAATCGTTCAGTTATATGGCAGCTATAGGATTTAGTCGGCTGATGCTTATGAAATTTGGTAGGTCGTATTAAAACCGATAGAAAATCCAAACTTCCTAACTTTAAAAACACCATAGTTATGGCTATAGGATATAGTCGGCCGATCCTTATGCAATTTGGTAAGTCGGATTGATTGGCCAAAGGTAATAATATATAATATAATAATATATTTGTATTTGGTTATACCTATCTATTATACAAATAATTTAACGAGTAACCCAAAGAGTATGCAATGATATATACTTATATATATAAAACTTATCGTTGAATTCGCCGTGAAACATTGGACATTACTCTTAAGAGATCAACATAGTTACAACATACCATAGGACATTTTTTGGAAAAGTGAGTACTGCGCTTTGGATTCAAGTTCCAAGTTTTAAGTGGCATACGTTTAGTATGAGTTCTATTTATGAAAAATTTAAACCATCGCGCAGCGCTTAAAATGTAAATGTTGCTTCTAATAGAATATTATGTTTTTTATATTCGACTGACATTAATATACGGTTAGAAATGGGAGAACATCATTTTGAAAACATTTCTAACTGGAGTAGGATCTGCATGGATAATTATATTGGTAATTTGGAAACTGTTTAACTTTCAATAAATGATTGAACGCAAAAATTGAACATAACTAATGTTGAGAATAAGGTTTTATTTTACATTATAGTGAGCCGTCCCAGTGCACCTGATTTTAAACCTTTTTATATTCCCTAGGTTCCTCTTACCGACGTACAAGAAACGAGTAGCATTCACAATACTGATTTATAGTTAAGTACATAGTAGCTTGGCATAACACAATCTTGGTTATTGCCAACAAACGATTTGTTTGGATCACTTAGAAACACAGAAACACAAAAATACGTAAAACTATTTGTCTGCAATGGCTTCAAAAACGCAAGATGCCATGTTGGCCGAAATGGACTTAATCTTTCTGGACACAATACTTCCAAGGTGCTGCAAGGATATCACCACCACCCAGGCATTCTTCAAGGACTACAGTGCCGAGAAGCCGAAGAGAACGGTTACGGCGTTTCGGTACCAAACGGATCCCTCCCTAATTTCAGGCCATTATGCGAACAATCTGAAGGTTTGCAAGGAGGAGCTGAAGACAAGGACATGGCCACGATCCATGGACTGGCGCGAGGAGTATGCGCAGTTCGTCAAGCGAAACAAGTGGTGCAACGAGGAGATCTATAAACTCTTCTTCGTGCATCCGCCCATCGATTACCTACAAATAAAGGACTATCTTCAGGACCTGCTTAAAACCACTTATATCTCGGATTATTCTCCCAATACATACGTGTCCCTTAGAAGTCAGCGCAGGCAGAAGGTTGATCCGAATCCTGACAACATTGACTATCAGACGACCTATGGCAATTACCACAATCGCATTCAGGAGGTGAATCCCTTCAAGTCGAACCTTTTTTCAGAACAAGAAGCAATCGTTAAGGGTATGAACATAGGAGATTTTGCCAAAGAGATGCGCAAACTGTTCACCAAGTACAATCTTACAACCTATTACGATACCATCTGCCTCCCAGCATTGATAAAGGCTAAGGATGGTATTATGCCATCGGGCCCGATCGATCGCTACACTCTTCGCAAGCACTAAATGGCATCTGAATAAACGTATCTTCGTGACTTCAGACAAATGTATTGTTTTTCTATACTTTTTTTGCCAATATTGATTAGAATTGTTTATAGAAGGCAAATCGACCCTCTCGTATATTGTGATAAATAGATTTTCGGTGATCAAGCAAACTTTTTGCTGAACGATAATTTGTGCTCATTCTAAATTTTAGTACAAAGAATTTTTGACTACTCAATTTTGGGTACTTAATATTTATATTATACTTATATTGATTTTACTTAATGTAATTTAAAGAAATGTATAAAATATATAAATTAAAATATTTTAAGCCACAATTGAATTTATTGTTTCCGGTTTACTGTACCAATATTCAGGTAAGAATGCATTATAATTAAATGGAATGTGTAAATTTTATACTATAATATAATAATCTAAATAATAGTTAAACAACACATAAAGTTGTATTGATTAGGCTCGTTATTAAAAATATACAAAACAAAACTTTCATTTTGATCAACGATTAATTACAGTTTTATTTTGTGGCAACAACTAAAAGCCTTTTTTGTACATTAACATAAATTAATTTGAAAACTATATAACATAAATTTACGCAGTGAAGGAGATATTTCCTACCCTAAAAAGTTTTTATATTCTACAATTTTTACAGTCGACAAAATAACCTTTTTAAAATTTTCTCCTTCGTCTTATTTCAAGAAAGAGTTTAACCTTTTTGTCTACACAGGTATTTAAAAAAAAATTATTTTAATAAAAATGATAAGTAAAATACAACATTTTTTTGTCGATAATACCCTTGCTTATGTTTCGCTTTTAATGTTTTCTGAAGATTCAAATAAGCTGAATATGTTATTTATAACAATTTTAAAACGATGCAAGTTTAACACTTAGTAAATCCCGAACGTGAATTTTTAGAAAAAAAAAGTGTTATATATAAACAGTTGAGTAATCTTCAAAGATAGCTCAAGACTTGAAAGATTTCGCATTTTCAACTTAAAACTAACTTTTGACTTTAATTTCGTAATTTTTACTTAGAGAACTAAGGCCTTTAAATACCATTGTAACGATATGTACCACGTATCTGTAATTTAAGGCATATAGGAACTAGAGGCACTTAAAATGGAGGGCAAAAAAGTTAAATTTTTTCAAAAAGTCATATTTGCAAAACCTTTTGACCAGATCATCGAATTAATAGCAAGTTTGGTGTCATTCGTCGCCTATCTTCAACAAGAATGCAACCAGACATTTTAATCCACCGGCCCCAACAGATTCAGATTTTCTTCAAGACTTGGAATGCAATTCTCTTACTTAAAGCGATACCTTTCGGTCGGAATATCATACCATTAGAGCAGATTTTCAACTCTGCGGTTACAGACATCTGACCAAAATTGTTTTACCCTTTGCAAGGGTATAAACAATTATGACAGTTTAGGAAATCGTTGTTAAAAATTCTGGGTATTTTACTCTTAAAAAACAGCTCCACTTTTTTCTTTTAAACAAAATGATAAAAATATTTAAATAAAAAAAAATTTTAATTAAAAACCAAGAAGAACAATTTCCCCATCTTCTATTCTCACGATGACCAGCTATGATCTGATCTAGTCATTTTGAAAACAAGGTAAGGCAACCGACTCTCTTAAAACTAATTAACTTTGAGCGAAAGATTTTAGCTACTGGTGGCTATAAAATTCGTAACATCAGCGAGAAAAAGTTCAGTCTTCGTGTGCATTTCTAAACCGAAAATAATACCGGTTGAAATGAATCTGGCATCGGCTCGGCCTGCTGCAAGGACCTGGTGGCCAAGGGCATGGTTGTCGTGGGTTTGGCCCGTCGGGAGGAGCCTGGGTGGACGAGGCTCTTGGAGGAGCCGACGTGTTGGTTAATAGTGCGGGAATCACCACCGACTCCCTGCTCACGGATGCCGGCAATGCCGCTGACATGACGGACACCAACGTCCTGGGATTCGTCTGGTGCGCCCGAGAGGCTTTCAAATCGCAGCAGAAGCGCAATGTCACCGACGGCCATGTGGTGGTCATCAACAGCGTTGTCGGCCACAAGCTTCCCCACATTCCAGGGTTCGACTTAACGATGTATGCCCCATCCAAGTTCGCTGTCACCGCTATGGTGGAGGTCCTGCGACAGGAGTTCCAGCAGAAGAAATGATATGTACTTCGGCTAATTCCGCCCCCTTTACACATGTATTGTGCCGTTGAATCGTCACGAGAAGTTAAGGCATTTTCTTGACGTACTCCACAGTTGTGTTAGCACCCCTTTAATTGGGGTAAGATAATATACAAAAAAAAAAGATATTTGAATGGGGAACATGATGCTTTTAGTCAATAAAACTGGTAAAGAAACTTTTAAAAAAAATTCAAGGATTCGAATTTGTATAGACTTTTTTTAGACTTGTTGTTGGAAGAGATAAGATAGTTTTTCATTAATTTATTATAAGTGTTTCTCAAAGAGTAAAAGAGATTAATTTAATTTAAACAATAGTTATGTTGTTTTAGTGTAAACTTAATGTTTACGCCTTTTATAAAGACAACCAATTTCATAACTTGTCTGTTATTCGCTAGTGTCTTTAAAATGGGTCTTTCGATTTTAGTTTGTTTTTATTACTTTACTCAAATTATCTATTTAATTTCAATGTAGCCGTGTTCTAAACTGAAGCCCTAACACAACACCAATGCAATTACAATACTGTTAAATTAGTTATCTTTCGATTGCGGGTAGACTATGAGTCGGAAAGAAATCGAGATATAATTTAAAATGTGGTCCAATTTGAAACACTACCTTCAATTGACGAAATTCTTCATTTCTTGTTTTACTGTAACCCACATTAAACTAGCTAACGATACACTTATTTTAAATCCCTTTTTTTGTAGAGCATTACTCCCGGAGCCGTCGACACGGACATCATTGATAAAAGAATCAAAGAGATAAACCCAAACTACGCAATGTTGCGTGCCGAGGATGTTGCCGATGCAGTTTCCTATTGTATCCAGACTCCTCCCAATGTGCAGATCCATGAGCTGACCATTAAACCAATCGGTGAAGCATTTTAGAAGATACCTTAATCAATTCTGGATTGATGTAAAGAAAGAAAGGTAAGCTTGAGAGAGAAAATAAATAAAGGTATTGCGAATATGGAAACATTTGATGCCCATAAACATTCATTGATTTTCAGTATTTCCATGTAGTATAAATAATTAGCTCTAGTTTTCAATTGCAATAACTTTCCTTAGAATATGTTTAAAGTAGTTTACAAGTAACATTTATTAAATTTATTTGTGGTAATTACAATAGTCGTGGTTTAGTTTAGAACACTACGTTTTATGTACTAATTGAAATGTTAATAAACTTAACTTAGTGATTGCAGACACATAGTTCCTTTGTTTTTACATACGATTTTTCATTCTTTTTGTCCATATACATCTATTATTTATAGACATTACTGATTTAAAACCTATATTGATAAGGATTGTTTATAGAATGCATTTCCCAAGAATTGTCTGTTCTGTAGGGTCTATAAAAAACATCCCACTCTTATATATGTTTGAACATGGTGATAAGTAGATTTTCGGCGTTCAGGGGACCTTGTTGCTGTAACTATTAAAGATAACTAAACGATAGTGTTTAAGGAACATATTTTTTATTCACACTACAAATTTTTGTATGAATAATTTTTGAACACTCAAGTTTGCGTACTTTTCATTTAATAGATTACTTTTAAATAAATTTTGAAAAAAAAAACATAATATATTTATCATAAAAGATTAAACCCCAAAACTTGAAAAAGCTTTGAGAAATTATTTTTAAAAAAGCTCGCTCTCTTACAGCAAACCAAGATAATTGACTAAGAATTAATTTCTTTGATTAATGTAAATAAATCACAAAATGATTAAAATAAAGGTTATCTATAATATTGAGGTGGGCTTTCATATTTTATTTAATATTATTTTATTATTATTATTTTATTTTTTATTATTTTGATTTAATTTTTAGAGTATCTTTAAAACATAAACAACTTTTAAACAGCTACAATGATGGAACAATTAATAGAAATGCGCAGGTAGAGTTTTTTTCTTTTAAATATTTCTCACTAATGGAATTACTATTCTATTATAAAACTTATGTTATGTTATGGGCATGTTATTACCCATTTGTACAATTTTGTTGTGTGTTTTCCTTTAAAAAAAATATTTAAATAGTTTACGTTTTACAGCTAACTTTAAAAAGAAATTGTTGTTTTGTTAGGTACCACAACTTTTTTCCTATATCGTTGTATGGCCAGTGCCTCTCCACTTTTAATTAATCATTGTAAGCCTAGGGTTCCTTTAAAACTTTTTCAAGCAGCCTATTTATTTTAAAACAACTGGAAAGTGATGCTGTCAATGTTCTAGGAGGCCTTTTAATAAAAATAATGGGTCTGTTTTGGTTTTAGAAATTGAAAGGTCGTAGAATCTCCCATGATTATTCGTCGCCTTGGAAAATTAACGGCAAAACATAGCAAAGCATTAATTTAAACATATTGTATTTTGTTTAACTCTCTGCTTTCCGAGTTATTTATAATAATTTTTTGAGTACCTGCGCAGAGCACACCGCGCCCCATTCTAAACACAAAAGTTGTATATGAAAACGGATTTTCGTTTATTATAAATTCCGGTGTAAATCGATTGAGTTTCTATATTTTTCTATCCAAAGAACTTTTTTACACATTTAGCCATTTCGTTAGAAGAGCAGAAGAAATGTCGCTTTTATTATTTTTTCCCACACTGTATACTTCTCAATTAAACAAAAAATATTTAATTTGTGTTCTCACGATGACAAGTGATTTGCGAAACAACCGACTCCCGTTAAACTTATACTTTCTTGAGCGAAAGCTTTTAGAGCAAAGTAAGCTCCTGCTGATTATAAATTGTAAAGCATCAGCGAGAGAATGTTCAGTCTTCGCGTGAATTTCCAATCCGAAGGTCTTACGTTGAAATAAATACAATATCGGTTGAAATGGATCGTTGGTTGAATCGCGTTGCCGTTGTTACAGGCGCCAGTTCTGGCATCGGCTCGGCCTGCTGCAAGGACCTGGTGGCCAAGGGCATGGTTGTCGTGGGATTGGCCCGTCGGGAGGAGCGTTTGAAGCAGCTGAAGGAATCTTTGCCAGCAGATCAACAGGCTCGCTTCCATGGCCACAAGTGTGACGTCAGCGTGGAGCAGCAGGTGGTCGACGCTTTCGCCTGGGTGGAAGAGGCCCTCGGAGGAGCGGACGTATTGGTTAATAATGCGGGAATTATCACCGGCTCTCTGCTTACGGATGAAGGCAACGGCGCTGACGTGCGTTCCGTTCTGGACACCAACGTCCTGGGATTCGTCTGGTGCGCTAGAGAGGCTTTTAAATCGCAGCAGAAGCGCGATGTCACTGACGGCCATGTGGTGGTTATCAACAGCGTTGTGGGCCACAAAATTCCTCACATACCTGGATTTAACTTCAAGATGTATGCTCCATCCAAGTTCGCTGTCACCGCTATGGTGGAGATCCTGCGACAGGAGTTCCAGCTGAAGAATACACAGACAAAGATTACTGTGAGTTTGGAACGCGATCTTTTATATGAACGTAATCTCGCAAAACGGCAATACATTTTATGTTTACGAATGGGCAAAACTTACAACATACAACTTCATAACTTGTCAGATATTCAAAAGTGCCTTAAAGATTTATTTATTTATTTAATTTCAATCAAGCCGTTATCTAAAATTTAACCCTAACACAACACCAATGAAATTGCAATACTTTTAAATTAGTTATCTTTTGCTTTCGGCTAAAATTGAATGCACTTCGGATCTATAAATAGTTTTTCGGTTATTGAGGGACCTTATTGCTGTGACTCTTAAAGATATATGTACACCGTTTAAACTTTTATACGAAGAAATTGTATGTAAGCCCACCTTAAACTATCTAAACTGAACCTTAATTTTTTAAGTAAAAATCTAGCTATAATTTTGGACAAATTCGGAAAACTACCTTCTATTGAAGAAATTCTTCCTTCTTTTTTTGTTACATTGTAGTCTACTTTACACTAGCTGAAAGATACACTTAATTTAAATATCTTTTTTCGTAGAGCATTAGTCCCGGAGCCGTCGACACAGAGATCGTTGATGAAAAAATCAAGGAGATAATGCCAAACTTCCCAATGTTGCGTGCCGAGGATGTTGCCGATGCAGTTTCCTATTGTATCCAGACTCCTCCCAATGTGCAGATCCATGAGCTGACCATCAAACCAATCGGTGAAGCGTTTTAGATGATACTTTAACGGAATTGGACTTTTTAAGAACTCCAACGCGAGTAATATCACTAACCATACAACATATGTTGTATGGTTAGTGGTAATATGCATCATGAGTATGAGAATGGAAAGTGGATACCACGCCAATACACGGATTGATGTAAATAAAAAACTAAGCTTGTATACACACAGAAAATAAACAAAGATATTACCAATGTCGAAACATTTGATTGGCATAAACACTCATTGATTTTCAGTATTTCCTTGTAGAGTTAATAAATAGCTATAGTTTTCAATTGCAATAATTTTCTTTGGAGTACGTTTAAAGTGGTTTACAAATAACATTTATTAAATCACTTCATCACACAAGTTCGATGAAGGAAATACAGGTCTTTTTGTTGCAGCTAAATACAATACGTCATAGTTAAGGTTATAACACTACCTAAACATCGATTTCTTTAAGTTTCTCACCTTATGTATCGCAGTTACATATATGGTTACTACAAACGTTAGTGTATGTTTATTTTACGTTTTTATTTTGAACGCATACAACTAGGATAGATAACACAAACATGTATCTGCGCATAAAGCATGCTTATCTTTATGATTTCAGATAAATATGTATATATATAAACATAATTTTAGACCTATAGTTTCTTCGCCAATATTTATTAAAAGTTTTTTTACAATGCATTTCGGATCTATAAATAGTTTTTCGGTTATTGACGGACCTTATTGCTGTGACTCTTAAAGATATAGACAGTTTAAACTTTTGTACGAAGATTTTTTATGTAAGCTTGCCTTAAACTATTTAAACCTTAATTTTTTAGAAAAGCCAAAATTATTATTATTTAAAAAATCGGTCGCGTTTCAATATTTTTTTTATCCAAAACAATTTAGCAATTGCGTTTGAAGTGAAAAAGAAAATGTCGTTTCTATTATTTTTTCCACCACTGTAAAAAATATAAGTAAAAATTTAATTTGTTTTCACAAGATGACTTGCTTTGATCAAGTGATTTGCAAAACAACCCACTCTCTTAAAAATTATACTCTTTTGAGCGAAAGCTCTTAGTGCAAAATAAACTACTGCTGGCAATCAACATCTGAGAGAAAAAGTTCAGTCATCGCGTAATTTTCCAACCCGAAAGTCTTGCGCGGAAATTTATACCATATTGGCTGAAATGGATCGTTGGTTGAACCGCGTTGCTGTTGTTACAGGCGCCAGTTCTGGCATCGGCTCGGCCTGCTGCAAGGACCTAGTGGCCAAGGGCATGGTTGTCGTAGGATTGGACCGTCGGCAGGAGCGTATGGAGCAGCTGAAAGAATCCCTGCCGGCGGATCAACAGGTTCGCTTTCATGGCCACAAGTGTGACGTCAGTGAGGAGCAGCAGGTGGTTGACGCTTTCGCCTGGGTGGAAGAGACCCTCGGAGGAGCAGACGTTTTGGTGAATAGTGCGGGAGTTTTCACCGGCTCCCTGCTTACGGATGCCGGCAACAGTGCTGACGTGCGTTCCGTTCTGGACACTAACGTCCTGGGATTCGTCTGGTGCGCCCGAGAGGCTTTCAAATCGCAGCAGAAGCGCAATGTGACCGACGGCCATGTGGTGGTCATTAACAGCGTTGTGGGCCACAAAATTCCCCACATACCGGGATTTGGCTACAAGATGTATGCTCCACCCAAGTTCGCTGTCACCGCTATGGTGGAGGTGCTGCGTCAGGAGTTTCAGCAGAAGAAGACACAGACAAAGATTACCGTAAGTTTAGAGCACGTTCTTTAAGATGCACGTAATATCGCAGATCGGCCATCCATTCAATGTTTTATTAGAGGTGTATCTTGTGTATCTTATTCTAAAACTAAATTTTTATTCTTTGGTGTTCATTTAGTACCAGGGACCAAAAATATAAGTGAATTAATTTTAAAGAGTCCTTAATATAAAATGAATAAATAATTCCTAAGAAGGCAGAAATATGCTTGCATGACATTACAGTTATTGGTTGACTTGTATTTTATTTCTCAAAAAAATATAAACACTTATCTAAAACTTTTATTTCTTTCTTAAAAATAACTTCAATTAATTGTAAGGAAATAATGTTTTTTGATTTTATTTTATGGGGTCTCAGCGAAAAATTTGAAAACGGGTTTTTAACAATTAAAATAGAAGACTTAAAAACCAATTATACTTAATTTGGAAAAAAATTTAAAAAAATTACATCTAATAAGGACATGTAACTGTTACTATCCCTGGTTAATACCTATATACTTAATAATTCGGATATTATGTAAAAGTCTTTTAGGATTAGTCGCTTCATTGTCGAATATGCGAGCAATGATGCAAGACTTTAATTACGGAAACATTATTTAAAAAGTTACTAAACCGATTCTAATTACAAAAATTAAACAATCAACAAATATTAATAATAAAAAGGCAATTTGGGCCACGTGGGCCACGGTGGATCGTAACAAAACTTTAAAAAGGATTCAATCGCGACAAGTTGGGGCGGTTAGCCAACAAAATTTCAACCGAATTTAAATTTATCTTCGGTAGGCATTTTGAGTGGAAGAGATTTGCTTATTTTCTTTTAATTATTTAAATTTACCATTTACATTATTTAAATTTACCATTTAAATTATTTAAATTTACCAGAGTATTATTTATTTTATTTTATTTTATTTAAGTAATAATTATATTGTTTTAGATTAAACTCATTGCTCACGTCTATTAAGAAGACCTCCTATTTCTTACTGGACAGGTATTCGCCAATGTCTTAAAGATGGGTCTTTCGACTTTTTTTTATTTGTTGACTTTACTTATTACTATTTAATGGAAATGTATCCGTTTTCTGAAATTAAACACTAACCTAATAGCAATACTTTTAAGCTAGTAAAAAAAAACTACATTGTTTTGACGAAATTTTTAATTACGCTTAATTTAATTACCTCTTTTTGTAGAGCATCAGTCCCGGACGAGTCGACACCGAGTTCATTGATGAAAAAATCAAGACGATGTTAAACCTTCCAATGTTGCGTCCCGAGGATGTTGCCGATGCAGTTTCCTATTGTATCCAGACGCCTCCCAATGTGCAGATCCATGAGCTGACCATCAAACCAATCGGTGAACCAATTTAGATGATACTTTAACGGAATTGGACAATTTAAGAACTCTAAAGCGAGTTATATGTATTATGGGTATCAGGATGGAAAGTGAAAACCACACAAATCCGGATTTATGTAAATAAAGAAAGCTAAGCTTGTGGTATTTAGAGAGAAAATAAATGAAGATGTTACCAATATGGAAATTTTTGATGCCCATAATCACTCATTTATTTTTAGTATTTCCATGAAGCGTAAATAAATAGCTCTAATTTTCAATAGCAAAAATTTTCTTTGGAGTACGTTTAAAGTGGTTTACAAGTAACATTTATTAAATCACTTCAACACACAAGTTCAATGAAGGAAGTACAGGGCCTTTTAGTTGCAGGTAATTACAATACGTCATGGTTTAGGTTATAACACTACGTCTGTATAAACATCGATTTCTTTAAGTTTCTCACCTTATGTATCACAGTTACATGGTTATTACAAACGTGAGTGTGTGTATGTTTGTTTTGAGTTTTTGTTTTGAACGCATACAACTAGGATAGACAACACATATCTCCGCTCACATAACTATCATATAAAGTAACTACATCTTGCTGGCGCCAACAATGCGGCCCAACTTAACATCTAATAAAAATCCAGAGTATAAATAGTTTTGATTACAGTTAAGTACATAAACAGCGCTGAAACGTTTGGCTAAAAACTAATAATACCGTCATCGTACAGTCCTACCGACAAAGACGTACCCAGTACTTCCGCTAATTGCTTCAGTTTACAAATTGTATTCACTTGGCTGGAGCATCAAACGTGCAATAACAAAAATAATAAAAGCATATTGCAGCCGTCTGAAGTCTTGTGGAAATAGCACACTAAGGAGAGTTTACAAGATTTCGCTTTGCTTAAATCTACCAAGTACAGTTACACATATATCTAGAGTATATCAATGTAGAACTCACACAACGTACATATGCCTCGGCCTGCATATTTTAAAACTAAATATGCCGACACACGGTTTGTATATGTATATATAAATGATCTCGGGCCGGCTTCAGAGCCGTCGTACCCTGTATAAAAATGCAGTTGCCTGATTCTCCCTGGCAACAACAACGCGGGTTGGCCGGCAATAGTAACTAACTCAATTGGATGTAGACGGATACGTTTGATATTTGCACTCGCGCAGCGTCTGGAACGAGTGCTCAAAGTCCCTCGGCAGCGAGGATAGGCCGTGAGCGCTTTCGGTGCCCGAAATAGTTTTAATCAGACTGTTGGAGTTCAGGGACTCCAGCTCGTGCGTCTCAGAATTGGCCAGTTCCACGATGGCCGAGCTGGTGGGGGTCAACAGCTGCTCGCTGGCTATCACCTGACTGGGTTTCCTGCGGAGAAATAAAAATGAAAAATATTTTAATCAAATAATTGATGAGTTAAAGCACAATATCCGAAATTAAAGTTCCAAAGTACATTTTTAATGAAATTAGTACTGATTTATATTCCTTTTAAACCTTTCAGATGATTCGAACTATTCTTTTCTGGAGCCAATTTAAAAATAATCTGTTTATGCTAATTATTACCAACAGGCCCATTACAATCAAAATTCCTTACCTCTCATAGAACTTGCTACTGGCACTGTTCCGCTTGTTCCACAACGGCCACTTAAGCTCCAGAAAACCGTGCTGCGGACCGGCAATGCGCAGCAGACTCATCAGGAAAAAAGTTGCGTATAGCCAGCTTACGATCATGACCACGACCAGAAAGACGCCGATCTGTATATAGGGTAAAATATTGGATGCCATCATGATGCCGCCTGCCAGACCCGTCGTGGTGGCCGCCATCACCGTGGGTCCAATGATCCGGGATAGTACAAACTGTGTGGCTGCCAATCTCTCCTTGACCGGGGACATCCGGTAGTGGATGCCGTAGTGCAGACTGAAGTCCACAGCCAGTCCGATGGCCGTGCTCACTGCAATGCTTTCCAAAATGTTAAGTTGCCAGCCAAGCAGGATGAGCACCGCAACAGTGTTAAAAATGCTCAGAGATACGGTTAATACCGCGTAGATGGAAATCAAGATGTTGACAGTAAAGCATAGCAGTACGACAAGCGATGCAGCCATGGCCAGACAAATGGCAACCAAGGTGTCATGTGAAAGTGTGTCCTGCACATTGTAGAATTTCAGGTCGCTGGTGAACCATCCACCTTGCAGTTCCGGAGGTGCCGTGGTCAACTGCTGTTGAAACCAGTTTTCAACAGACTCGTAAAACTGTTTAATATTTGCGTAGATAGTAGTGTAGGCCACATTGGACTCGAACTCGATGACTATGGCTTTAACCAAGAGCGGTGAACTTGATCCGTTAGTGCTGAACTCTGCACTATCATTTCCACCCAGGTAATCCTCTGTGTCCAGTCGAGGGGCATCAGCAAACTTGGGCCCGGCCACGCCAGGCCGAAAAAATGTGGTGTCATACATGTTGGATATGCTCTGTGGCAAGCAATACTCAAAAACATGAGGATCAAAGGGGAACTGGGCATCGCAGCATGGCGAACGATCTTTCCGGGTAATGTCCATATCATCGATGCATCTGAAACTCACAAAATGTCATTGTTTTCAACTTAATCTAAATGTGTCTTAGAAGTAATGGTAAAAATTTAAATATATATTGGATTAAAAATAATGTCTAGAACTATTACACAAAACTAACATACATTAATAATAGATAACAAAAGATCAGTAAGAGCCAACAAATTATTTTTGAGGACCCAAATCTGCTGCGTTGCACATTTATCTTAGTGTACATTTATTTATAGAAAAAACACTAATAGGATTATTTGCTCACCTGCGCTTCATATAATCGATGAGATTTTCAATGAAACAATTGGGCAAAAGCATGCCCAGAGTCTCTTTGTAAAAGGGTTGCTGGCGCACACTCTGGCAAAAGTCGAGGATCCAGAGTTGCGCTGGCCTGCTGGATGCATTAAAATTATTGTCATAGTGTAGGTTGCCGTAGGAGTTGGGGTTCGTGTAGTCGCCATCGTCAACTGCCTGAATGCCCCAGACAAAATGCATGTGCATCTTGAAGTTCTCGTACGCCTGCAACGGCTTCTCAAACCAGAACTGCTGCTTAAGACTAGAATACCTCTCGAAGGGATGCTTTGAGACAAAGAGCTGAAAGTGTGATTTCTCCGGCAACTGGAGTCCTGGATACCAGAACACAATGACGGCACTGGACACGCCTAGAGCACCAAATATCAGCAGCCACAGATAGGCGTAGTTCATGATGCCGTGCGTTATGCACCCCTCAAACATCTGACAAAATCTGTTAATTGACTTCTTGCAGGCGTGGATCAGTTTCTGGGACGTCGGATGGTGGCAGGATATCCTGGTGGCAAAGAGCCTTTCCATGATGGAGACCGAAGCAGGAAGCCAGGTGATCATGAGCAAATAGTTGGTCACCACGACGGTTCCCGCAAAGATTCTAAAAAGATTCAAAGCAAATGGATTTTTTATTTAAATGGTCTATCTTTTAGAAATAATTTTAATATTTAGTAAAAAATATCAACGTACCCAAAGCACTTAATAGCCGTTATGGAGCTGCTGTAGGAGGCGTAAAATGCGCCGGCGGTGGTGAGCGATGTAACGAACATGGAGGCAGCAGCGTGTCGCATGGTCAGCGCCATGATGTTCTCCAACGACTCGGTGTGATCGCTGAGCTCCAGGGGCGTTGGAAGCCCACTCTGGGACTGAGTGGTCAAGGTGCAGCGGTTGCTGAACCTCTCGGCCAGCACACATTGCCAGATTTTTAGAAATAAAAAAACATCGTCTGCTCCAATGCCAATTATCACCACAACGGCCAGAAGGTTCATGTAGGGGAAAAACTCGAACTCCAGGACGATGGCATAGAAAAAGTACGCTAGTCCCAACGAGAAGCAGATGGCGATACAGGACATCAATGTGATGAATGCCGATCCCGTGTACAACCAAACGCTGGCCATCACGAAGGCTCCTCCCAAGGAAACCAGCCAAACATCTGTTAGCAATAGCTCGTTAAATAGCTCGTTCTCAAGGCCCAGGTCCATCGCAATCACTTCCACAAGCTCGTTGCTAAGCTCCCTGCAAAATCAGTCAGAAGTTTATTACTAAATAGAAAACACAAAAAAAAAACAATATAAAAAAATGATAAAAAAAATGGATTCAGTGCAGCGAGAAAAGGATTTAATTAAAATGGAGATGCCAAGGACCAGGACGCTCATAACCACCAGTAGAGCGGACTACGTGAACCATACCGGAAAGGCTGTTCACATTCCTTCTATCAGAAAAGCTCAAGAAGACCCCTCGCTTATAACTGGCCACAATTGGGCGAATCTGAAGGTTTCCGGTATAGAAAATAAAACGAAGACATGGCCCAAATCTATGGACTGGCGTGAGGACTACGCACAGTTCATTAAGAGAAACAAATGGTGCAACGAGGAGATCTACAAACTGTTATTCCTATTTCCGCCCGTGGATTTCCAAATTCTTAAGGACTTTGTTAGGGACCTTCGCAAGACGGTTTATATGCACGACTACTCGAGGGATGACTTCGTTTCTTTTGTGAGTCGGCGGCGCGTTAGGAACATAAAACGCTTTGATTCCGAAGATGGGGACTATCTGACCACTTATGGGTGCTTCTACAATCGCTTGCAGGAAAGGGAGCCATTCAAGAGCTCCCTATATCCGGAACGTATGCTAAAGGACCCAAATCTAGATAGGGTCGCCAAAGATTTGCGCAAATTGTTTACTAAGTACAATATGACGACTTATTTCGACACTATATGCGTCCCAGCTTTAATGAAGGCTAAGAATGGCATAATGCCATTGGCGCCTATCGATCGGTATCAAAATCGAAAGTACTAAGTAGGGGTCCGTACTTACACTTCTTCCCATTCGTGAAACAGCGGCAGCAAGCGATTAGATTGCGCCACCGGCACAAATATCATGGCGTATTTCAAATAAACGTTGGTGTCCTAGAATAAAGAAATATTGCATGATATAATTCAAAAAGCTTTAAAAAAACAGATCAATATTATATTAAAAATCGGTAGACTTTTAGTTTTACTCAACTCACATTGGTCTTGATGAAGCTAAAGTCCGTGAGGAAATTCAGGACGTTAAAGACAATATTTAACCGCTTGCACTCCTCAGGAGCACGACAGTGCGGTATTTCATTGCAGTGGTTGTCCATCTTTAGGTCGTGGAAGTACTCGTAGCAACCGGAGAGCAGCATCTGCAACGAAGTAACATCCTCTGCAGTGAGGTCGAAGCAGGAACTTTTGTTGGCCAGCATGGCTGCGTAGTTGGGCAGCGACCACGGCCTGCAGCATTCGGTGGTGAGCATTTCGGGCTCGCAGAATGCCCGGTAGCTGGGCACCTCGGTGATCTGGTCTTGCAGCTGGCACATTGCCAGCAGGCCGTTCAAGTCGAACAACGAATCGGTGGCGTTGGGCCCAATCCGCTGAACCACAAAATGGGAGTACTCCTTTCGTGGCGATGAGTCGCAAAAGAAGCCTTCGATGGGCTGGCGACGATGTGCGTCCGCCCAACCGTCGGTAGGCAGGGTGGCGGCTTGTTTCAGAAGCCGCCAAGTGCTCTTTTTGGTCTGCACCCTCTCCCGATGCTCGTCCTCATCCACTGAGGTGGTGTTGTGCCCATACTCGATCTGCTCGGTGCGTCGGGTGGGTTCCAAAGAGGAGGAAGCGCTGTCGTTTGTGATCTCGTAGTCACGAAACACTCCGCTGTCACCCATCCAGGTGTCGACAGCGAGATTTGCGGATGGAGCACTCGTAGCCTTCAGTCGCTTCTTAAACTGCATCATCTTCTGGGCCACATCGTGATGTTCGTGATTGCTCTGATTTTGTTCCTTACGTCGCTTGTTTTTGTTTCGGTTTCTATGCTTGTTCTTGCGTCGCCTGTGATTCGGGTGCAGCCGGGTCTCAACATAGCCCTGTTCCACGCGCCTCTTTTCCCATAGATCCGAAGGATTCGAGAAGAGCACTCCATGGTGGTCGGTCTCCTGCATCAGGTTGTACCAAGCTGTCAGGCGTTGGCCTATCTTGGTACCGCGGGTTTCGAAGCCCTGAAATGGAGGTGGGTATGTTTAAATTAAAATTTTATTCATTTATATCTGAAAAATAATATAAAGATTAAGATCATGTGATCATGTAAAATTGTGATCCCAATAAGCCCTTTTATTGTGTAAATTAAGAAGCTGGGCTATTAGAAATAAAAATGTTTGTGAGCTAAATAACTCTGTTAACTGCTGTTAAGTTAAGTTCTTTGAGATTACTGGCGCAAAGCTCTGTCATTCCAATTTTGAATAGGTACTAGTTTTATTGGCAATAAGTTCACAACGGATTATATACAATAAATTTGGATTGGATATAAATTTTGTTCAAAGTTTAGATATGATGTTACTATTCGATAACAATTAAAATATAGCTTTTTGAAATTTTGGGCGGGTTTGGCTTAAAAATTTAAGAGTACTTGTAAAATGCATATTATTCTAGACAAATTTAACTAAAATTTTATGTTGGAAGAAAGTGGATTTAAGTTTGAGTTATGGAAACCTTTAACTTTAATATTGATGATTTAACTGATTTAGTTTTAGAAGTCATTCATTAAACGAGTATATTCCTAACTTTAGTAATTAACTATTACTATTGTTACTGCAACTAATACTTTGCATACATATGTACATATCTACATACGTACCAAGGTGGGATCGCTGAAGTCGGGCAGCTTGTTCAGTATGAGGGCCACGATGATGCAGGCCATGCAGTATACGGCTATGGAGACGACCACCAGGTAGGGACGCCTGGCCAGGACATGGTAGTACCAGTTCATCCTCTCTGAGTCGAAGCACAGCATTTCAGTCAAATAAAGTAGCGCAATCCACTTTAGTCTCTTCGCATAGTGATGAACAACCTCTCCTTGAGTTTCGTTTTCAGTTCATCTTTGGCGGCTGGAAAAGTCTCGATTAACCTTGGGCTGGTGGGTGCTCCTTGGGACGGTGCCAGATTCTATTGTTTTGCTTCTATTATAGATACTGCCTGGTAATCAGGCTTTATCCGCGGACTTCCACTTGTTGGACTGCATTTTCCTGGGAGTGTGCACCCGTGCTAATAACTCAGGGTTCGGAACTAACTAAAACAACACAAAAACAACCAAAAACTATGCGAATAAGGATAATGCAGAAAACGGTGAAATAACAACAAAAAAGCAGAACAAAGGATACACTGAGGAGTGAGCCAGTGTTGAGCAATCCGACCACGAGTGCTGGCTGGCTATAAGCAACCAGCTGATTTTCTGGAAGACAATTAATTAATGTTCTGTAACGACTTGATAATCTATATGAACTTTATTTGAATTTATTTTGTTTGATTATTCTCAAATTACCTTATTCATTTTTTATAATATCAAGATAAATGAAAGTTTTAAGTTTGCAAGATATTAATCAAATTCGCGCATCATTAAATAGCTAAATTGGGCAGATAGCAAGGTACTCAGCCAGTACCACTGAAACATATGTTCAAGCAGTAGTGTTGCAAAACGTGAACTAGTTCCGCTGAGCCACAGACTTGTGCAATGTTTTGTAATCGTATTTACAAAATTCTTTAAACCAAAATTCATAAATAAGAAATGCTGCGGCGCGTGCAATGCTTGCTGCGACTACACAGCAATGGACGCCAGGCACTGGCCAGCCGCCTCCGATGCTACTCCACGGATGAGGGGAATCCCAAGCAGAACCAGAACTCCAATCCCAATCCCAGAGCTCAGAAACCCGGCACCAAAAACCTGCCGGCTGTAAGAAATCCCTTTGCAGCCGCGCAGGACAGAACGAAAGACACCTACCTGACCATGGTAGATATCTTCCAGGAGCGCGATGTCCACCGACGCAATCATGTGGAATTCATCTACGCGGCGCTCAAGAACATGGCGGATTTCGGGGTGGAACGAGATCTGGAAGTCTACAAGGCTTTAATCAATGTGATGCCCAAGGGCAAGTTCATACCCACCAATCTGTTCCAGGCCGAGTTCATGCACTATCCCAAGCAGCAGCAGTGCATCATTGACCTCCTGGAGCAGATGGAGGATTTCGGGGTAATGCCGGATCACGAGATGGAGGCGATGCTGTTGAATGTCTTTGGAAGACAGGGACACCCACTCCGCAAGTACTGGCGTATGATGTATTGGATGCCCAAGTTCAAGAACTTGTCACCGTGGCCTCTGCCAGATCCTGTCCCGGATGATACCCTGGAAATGGCCAAGCTGGCGCTGGAACGCATGTGCACAGTTGACCTGCGATCCAAGATCACGGTGTTCGAGACCAGCGAGCTAAAGGATGCCATCGACCAGACGTGGATCGTCAGCGGGATGAGTCCCGAGCAGGAAAAACTGCTGAGGGAACACTCCCGCCAGAAGGCCCTGTACATTGAGGGACCCTTCCACATATGGCTAAGGAATCGTCGGATCAACTACTTCACCCTGCGCGCCGATCCGGACCCCCAGTTCCTGTCTCAGTTGGATGAGCGGCAGCTGGACGAGGACGACGTCTCTCACATTGAGGTGCCCTTCTTCGGTCGCGCTCCACCAAGAAGGCACAACCAGGTGGGAAAATTGCGATCTGTCCATCAGCAGGACGATGGCACCATATTGGCCATCTGTGCCACAGGCACCTCCACCAAGGACTCCCTTCTCTCGTGGATTCGCCTTCTGGAGGCCAACGGAAATCGCTCCATAGGAGAGGTGCCCGTGCTCTTCCGGTTCACATCCGAAGTGCCCGCCAAAGCTCAGGAGATCGAAGGTGGTGCCAGTGTCCCAGCAACAAGTGATAACAGGAGCAGTAGTCAATATGAGCAACAAAGCAGTAAAAGGGAATAAACCAATTGTTATGCAAGCTTCTGTGTTTCTTTAGTAAATTTGTGGATTAGACTAAACCCCCCGTTCCACTATTCCTCAATCTCTTACGGTCAGGTTGGTCCTTCCACTGACTCCAACACATACATCCTCTCAACCATTAATTCCAATTAATATTGTATTTTGGTGTCGCCTTTTAATGAAGTAAGAGTAATTAAGGAGGATAACACACAATTTCCGATTGTGAGCCGATCTTAAACGAAAAATCACAGAACCCGAAACTAAATGTACAGAAGATCTGCCTAGGATTTAACGCCTCTCTCTAACCGCTAATTAAGTATATGTACATGTCATCTGTGTTTGAGATATAAAGTTATGTCATTGGAACTATCCAGCTAGCCAGCTTGCGGCCGGGGTTTCTCTACTTTACACCGGTCTTGTTAACGGGGAACACCTGCGTGACAACTCCGATGCCTTTGCTGGTGCCCTCGCGGAACAGAATGCGCATCCCAGGACGCACGTACTCCGGGTGGCCGACGAACTCGAACATCACCGAAGCACAATCGTTGGTGCCCAGTCGCTCACCGCCCATGATTCCTCGGATAACCGCCGTCTGGCGAATGCTTCCAATGTGCACCGTGGTTTGGAAGCCGACGTAGATAGCCGTGGCGTGGAACAGAACGGATACTTTGGCCTGCAAAAAAAACGGAGAAATTAATTAATTTTGATGTATTAAAAATTTTTAAAAATATTGAAAAACTTTCAAAATAACCTAAATCATATTCTTAAAAAGTTCAATATTTACCATATTTTTTTATAGATTCAGTTTTGAAAGAAGTTAATTGAGGTATTAACAAAGACCAATATAAAGATTATATTGGTCTTTGGTATTACCTTATGCTCATTCTGGCATCGGAAAATATATTAGTAAGAAAAAATTGTAGGATTAAAAAAATTTTTTTTTTCCTCTAAAGGCTATTTGAGATATAATTAATGCTAAACTACCGAAAAAA